TAAAAATTTAAGTTTTTTTAATAAAATGTATAATTTGTAGGCCTCATAAGATAGTAATTTGCCATGTGTTTTAAAGAAGATTCTTAATGTTAGTGATTCTTTACCTTACCCTTATTTTGCCCTAGCATTCCATTCTCTTCCCCATATAAACCTCTCTCTCCATGTCTAAATCCTAGTTTGATTTCATACAATTTTTCATAATACTAATTTATGGTTCAATTTGTCATTTGTCTCAGTTAGGGTTTCTGTGGCTGTGATGAAGCACCATGACCAAAAAGCAAGTTGGGGAAGCAAGGGTTTATTTGGCTTCATTTCCACATTGCTGTTCGTCACTGAAGGAAGCCAGAACAGGAACTCTAACATGACAGGATCCTGGAGTCAGGAGCTAATGTAGAGGCCATGGAGGGGAGTAGCTTAATTGCTTGCTTTCCCTGGCTTGCTCAGTCTGCTCCAGGACCATCATCTCAATGATGGCACTGCTCACCATGGGCTAGGCCCTTCCCTGTTGATCACTAATTGAGAAAATGCCTTTATAGTTGGATATCATTTCCTCAACTGAGGCTCTTTCCTCTCTGATGACTTTAGCTTGTGTCAAGTTGACACACAAAACAAGCCAGTACATCAGTAGATTATAATTTTCTTCCAGATTTTGCATAAAGAAAATAATTTTATTTAAATTGTTTATTTCTGTGACCTGGGCTTGAATTGGACAGGACTGTTTTGTAGATGTCACCAAGAGACCTTGACTCAGGAAAAGATAATTTTATGGTAGTCAGAGGACACTAGACTATTCTGTTTTCAGAAGAAATGTTGAGTGACAGATAGGACTGCCAAATCCATTTGTAGAAAAGAGGAATGAACTTAACTTCTTTCATTTGAGAAATTCCCATGACACATGACCTTCCATGAATGTGCCTTGGGTTGTGTCTTAGTCACTTTCTTGTGACATGATAAAACCCTCTGACATTCTTAAAGAGGAAAAGGTTTCTTATAGATCCATGGAGGACATAGTCCATCATAGCAGTTAGACATGGCAGCAGCTGAGGAAAATATGGCTACAGGAACAGGACACAGAGTGTCTACCTTGCCTCCCCCAACTCAGGAGCAGATGATGGGCAGGGAGTGGGTATAAAGCCTTTAGACCTACCCTCTGTGACTCACTTTCTCCTCTAGTGAAGTTCAATTTACTAAAGGTTCCATAACCTTCCCAAACAGTGCGACCAGCAGGGGACAAAATGTTCAATACATGAGCCTATGGAGGACATTCTACATTCAAACCATAATATCCAGCTAGTGTCTTAATTGTTGGAGAAAATGGAGCAAGGGATGGTGAGTGATAGAATGTGGCAAAACTGGTCCCTGGTAGAGGTAACCACAGATACTGACTGTGTGATTAGTAACTAACTGTCTTAGAGTTTCTGTTGCTGTGAAGAGACACCATGACCGTGGCAACTCTTATAAAGGTGTTGGTTTACAGTTTCAGAAGTTTAGTCCATTATTACCATTGTGGGGAGCATGGAGGTGTGCAGGCAAACATGGTGCTGGCTACATCTTGATATGCAGGAAACAGAAAGTGTGAGCATCATACTGAGGGAAGCTTGAGCAAAAGAAACAAGGCCACTCCTACTTCAACAAGACCACACTTCCCAATACTGCCACTCCCTTTGGGGGCCATTTTTTTTCAAACCACCACATTCCACTCCCTGACCCCCAAAGGCTTGTAGCTGTATCATAATACAAAAATGCATTCAGTTTGACTTCAAAAGTCCCATAGTCTATCTCAACAATGTTTTAAGTCCAAAGTTCAAAGTCTCTTCTGAGATTTATGAAATATCTTAAAATCAAATCTATAAAATCAAAATTAAAAACAGACCACATGCTTCCATCGTATAATGGCACAGGATATGCATTACCATTCCAAAATGTAGAAAAAGGAGCATAAATAAGAAATACTGGACCAAAGCAAGAACAAAAACCAACTGGGTAAACTCCAAACTCTGCATCTCCATGTCTGATGCCAAAATGCTCTTCAGACCTCCAAATCCTTTCAGCTTTGTTGACTGCAACACACTTCTTTTTCTTGGGCTGGTTCCACTCCCTATTAGCAGCTCTCCTTGGCAGGTATCCCATGGCTCTGGCATCTCTGACATCTTAGGGTCTCCAAAGCAATCAGGCTTCAATTTCATAGCTTCACACAATGATCTCTCTAGGTGTCCATTCAGGGACACCCCTACACATTCCTGACCTCAATGACCTCCTTCTACACATGTCTGACCACAATGGCCTCCTTCATTGTTCCTTGACTCTAAAGCCAGAACCACGTGGCCTAAATTGCCAAGTTCTACTGCTTGCTGAATCTGGAACATGGTCCCCTAGTTCAGTTACATCTTCACCAGGTTTCTGTTTTCAATGGTTACCTTCACTGTCTAAGCTTGACTGTCATTGAACTTGGTCTGTAGACCAGGCTGGCCTCAGACTCAGAGATCTGCCAGTCTTTGCCTCCTGAATGCTGGGATTAGAGATATGCACCACCACACCTTGCTCTAAGTTTTTCTTTAATTTTTTTTTTCCCCAGTTCGGAAACCTAGCTGGACAGGATCTTGCCCTGAGGTCACCACTCCCTTTATTCTGTTTCTTAATCCATTTTATGTCCTTGAACACAGGATTTAGCTCTGTTCCACTTTCTGGTGCCCCTGTTCTCAATCTGTACCTTATTCATTTTTACTTGCTAGGCTTGCTCCTTTTCATTATAAATCTTCATTAGAGTTAATACTAATAACCACACAACAGAGTCTATAATAGTCTGTTTTGAGTGTTCCTCGGCCATCTGAATTAATCCAAAACTCTTCACTTTAGCCTCAGGCAGACTCTTTGGATAAGGGCAAAAACCCGTCATATTCTTTACCAAAATATCACAAGAACGATCTCTAGGCCACATGTTAACATTCTTCTCCTCTGAAACCTCTTGAACCAGGCCCCCACAGTTCAAATCACAGTCAGCACCACTGTCTCCCATGTACCTACTGTTATGGGCCATTAAACAGCACTTAAAGCATTTCACTGCTTTCCTAACCCAAACTCCCAAAGTCCATATCATTCCAAAGAAAAACATGGTCCGGCCTATCACAGCAATACTCTAGTCCCTGGTATCAAATTCTGTCTTAGTTAGAGTTTCTATTGCTATGAAGAAACACCATGACCATGGCAACTTTTATAAAGGGAAAACATTTAATTGGGGTGGCTTACTTTTTTAGAGGTTCAGTCCATTATCATCATGGCAGGGAGTATGGCAACAAGCAGGCAGACATGGTACTGGCTACATCTTGATATACAGCCAACAGGAAGTAAACTGTCTCACGTGGCATGGCTTAAGTATATATGAGACCTTAAAGCCCACCTCCACAGTGACACACTTCCTCCAACAAGACCACACCTACTCCAACAAGGCCACACCTCCTAATAATGCCACTCCCTTTGAGGGCTATTTTCTTTCAACCCACCACAGTAACATTCCAACAACTTATTATATATAACTCTTCCTTAAAATGATCCTATTTGACAAGCAGTAGATGTAATTTTGTGCCTTCATTGTAATAATTGGGAAATATAAGCCAAGGATGTGAAGTACACTGTTCAAGGAAACAGAATGATGATAGGATTCAGCGGTAGGCTTCCCTCAGTCAGATGCCCTACTTTCAACCAGTGTTCTGTTTGTCCTCCTACTGAGTATAAATTAGCTCAGTCTCGCTAGGAAAAGATTAAATCTCCCCCCACTCCTAGTTTCTTCTTGCAGATTGTTTTTTCTTATGTAGACACTTAGTCTATGTCATAGTAACATTTTAATTTTCTGAAATCTGGTATCTTCCATTTGGGTCTCTTTCTACTGGCTCTGAAAGCCATTGTAAGGAGAGAAAATTAACTTTCCTTCCTGGTCTCCCATTTGCATTTTGCTTACTCGGCTGCTCCTCTGCCAGATCTCAGTGTTATTAAAGAATATTTTGTTATTCTAATGCAAGCCTCTGAAGTTTTAGGAAACAATATTCCCGTATTTATCCCTCCCGAAGTCACTGACTCAACTTCTCAACACTGACTCCACCATCTGTGTCTTCCTACTAGAGCTGGGACTGGATCTGCACATGTTTCTACTTTGCCAGCTGTTGGGGTCCACCAGTGAAAAGTGCTAAAAGAAAACAAAGAGCTTTAAGGATTGTAAGAGAGAGGGGCTGGCTCTTCTGCTTGCTTACAATTTCTCTATAACCAACCCCAGCAATGCAGTTCAACCCCCAGCTGAATCCTGCACCTTGCTGTCTCACTCACCTTCACAGGACCTGATTTTTTCCAGTTATTTAGAATTCAGTTCGCTAATTTCTAATACTAACTCCTTCTGTCAAAATACCTAGTGGAAACAACATTTAGGAAACAAGAGAAACATAAAGATTGGTTCCTAACTGAAATGCCCTTAAGGCTTGCTTCTCCCATTTTCCTCTGCAGAGCAGTAACAGAGTGTGCAAAGTTGACATTATCTTAGAATTGGCAAAGTTCAAATGTTGACATTGGAGAGGTGTGCTCTGTGTGTATTGGGGAGATATTCACCTGTGGACAATTTTAATTACAGGAAGCTTTCAAAGCAAGGAGTTTTGGAGAAGTCTGCATTATATAGGATTTTTATCCAAGAGAAGATTGTGTTTACAGAGTAATATGTGCTGTTGATCTTGTCACATGGGTGCTCTACATCTCAGTCTAGATCACACACTCCTGTGTGGACCTAGGAGAATGTGTCATGGTCTGTTATGATTCTTACATCAGCATGACTTGTATTGGGAATAACATCTTTAGGTCTTAGCTGAGATGAGGTTGGTTGCATACCCTTATCTCCCAGGGCAGGTTCATCCCCTTCTCTTCCTTATTCACTTTGTTACTGAATTATTTCACCTAGCAATGCACATTTCTATCCCTCCATTCATTCTTTTATTTAATTTCTTTTGCCCGTTTTCCCTTAGATTTGTGTTTGTCCTGGATACAATACTAAAATGAGAAAATTAAAAGGACATCAAGTTCAAGGAGCTCTAAGGTAAGTGGGGAAGTTCTATTTGAATTAATTCTGGATGCTAAGAGAAATAAGTCTGATGAAATTCAGCCCAAAGAAGGACTTGTAATAAGAGAAAATCATGGAAAGATACACAGGTGCATATAGATGAGAGGATATAAAATGGTTAGGAAACTGCTTGGCTTAAAGCTGAGGCATGCTGGGAAATAAGAATGGTAAACAGTACAGAAAAATTAAATGAGCCCTTTTGAAGGAAAGAGAAATGTGCCCATGTATGTATGTATACTAAGTGGGTGTGTATTGCTTTAAAAGTGTGTTACAGACACCATGATGAAAACTCAGACTATTAAAATTCAACAATAGCTACTAATACGGCCAAGAGCCTCTACTCTTCATTAACTCTCTCCAATCACTGAAAATAATGTGATACTTAAAAAACTGGTGAAATACCCATTTACCCATTCATCCATTAATGTTTTCTCTAACCACAAGTGGTGGGAATCTCTAATCAACTCCATAATTATAACAATAAATAAGACTGCCTTCAGTCTTAGCCCACAGCCTTACTCCAGAAACAAGTTGATTAAATATGAATTTCTAGTGACTTGCTATTAGCATTATTTCTGAGTAAGTAATGACTGCTTTGGAAAGATATAAGCAATGTCACTGAAGGTTCAGGACAGCATTCTAGAAAAAGCAGATGGCATAGACCAGAGATTTAGTAGGAGGTCATCAGACTAGGATGAGGGATGATAAGTGAGTGCTCCATGGAAAATCCAACACTTGTCATTTTGGGAATCCACTAACAGTTTAGGATTTTAAGAAATGGAGAAGTTTCTCATGATTGGATTATAGGTATGACCAAAGGGCTGCAGAGATACACAACTGGCAAACTTCCCAAGGTTGTTTATGTCATGTGAAACCCTGGGGAAGTACAAGTGAAGGAGACTTGTTGGAGTTGCCATCTGGCGTCACTGTATACAGTTCATCTGAGGGAGAACCATGGATGCAGGTATAGTCGTGTGAAGCCTGATGGTTACTAATCTTGAGCTGCTTCCTTAGATACAGAAAGATTTGGAGCTATTTCAAGGTGTTCAGTTCTTGGACTGAAGATGAAGAGGCACATAGACCCACAGTTGCTGATGGTAGACAAGGTATTATTGACATCTCTATTGATCGATTGCAAAGTGTGTTTGCATGTATCAGCATTAGTCGAGGGCCAAAATTATGGATAGATGATGGTAAAGACAGATAATTCCTGTAAAATTTTGGGTGTGAGGCAATAAGGTGGTGGGTAGGTGGGTGGTAACTGAAAGCAGGAAAAGAGCAAGAGAAGATTTTTGTTTGATTTGGGTAACACTGAAAGTTCTTAGCCCTGGATTCGGAGAAATAAGAGGAAAAGAGATTGAGAAGTGTATTGAAGAATGTGAGATGCAGTTCTGTAAGGGTAGAATCACGCTTTAGACCAGAAAGTATAAATCAGTTTTGCTGTTAGAGAAATGAAGACTGTGTATGATAGGGGTCATTTCTTGGTTTTTGATTATTGGCTAGTTTTTTTAAACTTTTATTGTGTTTATTTGTTGACAGTTTCATACATGTATAACATGGAGTTTGATTATTATAACCTCCCCTCCACTCTCCCCCTGCTCTCTTATCCACCTACTTTCTACATGCTCCCTTCCCATGACTTTTTGTGTGGGGTTTGTTTTGTTTTATTTGAGAAGTACTGAGCTTGATTAGAATCATCTGTCAAACTATCTACTGGAGCCTAATCGGTAGCTATCTCAGTTGTTACACATTATGGCAACAATGACCTCACCTCCCCAAGGGGTCCATAGTTCAGAAGAGAGGGAAGGGCCCTGTAATCTCCTCTCTAATCCATGATTGATTGTTGATAGGCTCAGTCTTGTATAGGCCATTTTAGGCAGCTATAGGTACTGTGAGGTCATGTTTACACAGGCTGTGACATGCCCAGAAGACATTATTCCTCAAGTCTTTTCCCTATCTTTTTGTATCTGTTACTTTTTTATTACTATAATAACATAATGACCAAAGGTAACTTATAGAAAAAAAGTTTGTTTTGGCTTATGGTTCTAGAGGGTTAGAGTCCATAATGGTGGGAGAGACATGGAAGTAGGCAGCAGAAACAGGAAGCTGGCTGATTGCATTTGCATCTACAGGCAGGAAGCAGAGTGTGAATAGAAAGTAGGGCAAATCTATGAATTCCCAATGCCTGTTCCCAGTGACATTCTTCCTCCAGCAGGATTGTACCTCCTAAAGATTCCACAGCCTCCCTAAACAATGCCACCAATAGGAGAACAAGGGTTCAAATCATGAACATAGGGGGGACACTTCTCATTCAAATCACCATACTTGTGTTGGTTAACTTTTGCTGCTTTTATTAGTTTCATGAACTAACAGTAAATATGTTTTAAGAAGGGAAGAAATTAGAGGGCTGCTTAGCTGAAAACTTGTTAAGTTGAATCTTATATAATTTGCATGTATATGTATAAGAAAAAAAATATAAGGCTTTAAAATAAACCTCAGTAAAAAAACCACTTTTGAGCCAAGGACTTTCCCTTGCAAAGTATTTACTAAGCTTTTCTCCCCATCTTCCTTCCTCTTTGTCCCCCTGCTTTGCCTCCCATTGAATAATGATTCGTGTCAACAGTTGAGTAACAAAAGTTGAGTAAACTTTTGGATTTCTATAGTTTCTGTTCCCCTTTAGTGTAACATAGAATAATATGAAGCCATGTGGGAAGAACTTTCATGATCATACTATTTCAGGGAAAAAATGATATAAGTATGTATTTCACATGCATTTCCCTAGGTCAAAAGGAAGATGACGTATAGTGTTTTTAAAAACTCAGGGGACTGACTACCTGTGCTCTCATGTACAAAACCATTTGCTCCTTTTCTAGTGTAGGGATAAAAATTCCATCAAAAGCAAGCAACAATACATTTTGGTCACAATGAAGATTGGTTAATATTAATACTTTATTTTCATATTTTCTACAAGAAATATAGATGATTTTCACTTTCTATGGAATATGGTAAATATTAATACATTTTAGTAATTTTTTCATCATAAATAGCAGCATTTTTTGAAAAACGAATTCCTGGCAATGGTTGAGTCTCTATTCACTAAGAATAATAGTGGAGGAAACAATGTCTCATACAAAGGTATTAGCTGGAGCACTCCAGATAATCTGCAATGGAATTATTTTACTATCCCCTGTATTGCATTTTGCTACATTTCTTTTATTTTTCTTACTAAAAGGTAACAAAATCTCACTAAAGAAAAATTGAAAAGAACAATCATAATCTACTTCATAATCTGTTGAAACTATTTTTTGCACCTGAGATCTTCTCAGAGAGCTTTACACTTGGTTATTTCAGTATAACAAGGAGATTTAATATTAATATGCTTTTCTCATATTCTATAATTTATATGTTTCCTTAGCAGATTATTGTGTTACTTAAATTATTTCAACATTCCTTAACATAAACTATGCAGGGCAAAAGGAACCGGCCAATCAAGACATAGAAACATATAACTGAAAATGCAAAACTCCTCTGAAATGTTGAGAGAAGCACATTTTTAAAGACCAATGATTGTAAGTTTTCTTAGTCACCAATTCTGTTTCAGGAAAGCCAATCACTGTGGATATTTTAGAATTCCTTCTTTCTTTCTTTCTTTCTTTCTCTTTCTTTCTTTCTTTCTTTCTTTCTTTCTTTCTTTCTTTCTTTCTTTCTTTCTTTCTTCTTTTTCATTCTTTCTTGTGTATGAGTATTTGCCTACATGTATTCATTTGCACCATTTACATATCTGATGCCTTTAGAGGCCAGAAGGAGATTCAGATTTCCTGGAACTGCTGTTATAGATGGATGTTAACTGTCATGTGGGTCCTGGGAAATGATCAGGGTCCCATTGCAATTGCACCAAGTGCTATCAAACTCTAAGCCATCTTTCTAGCCCCAGGGTAGATATTTAAAAACTCAATTTGGTTTTAATTCACCAACTAACTCGTGTGTGTGTGTGTGTGTGTGTGTGTGTGTGTGTGTGTGTGTGTGTGTGCCTGTTTGCATGTTTGTGGGTGCACATGTGTGTGGGTATGTATGTAGGTCCAAAGTTGATGTCTGGATCTTCTTCCACCATTTGTATTTAACTGGAGCATGGTCTGTCACTGGACCCATGACACAAAAATTACAGCTGGTCTAACTAGTCAGCTTGCTTTGGGGATTCCTGATCTTTGTCTCCTAAGTGTTGGGATTATGGGCTCTGGGATTGCATGATTCTAGGGATCTGAATTCTGGTCTTCAGGTTTGTGTAGTAAGGCTTTATCCACTGAGCAATCTCTCTAGCTCTAAGACGACTTTAGCAGAAGCCATGGACCACCTTGCAGGAAAGGTGGAGACTGTGTACACGGTCCATCCCCCCTCCCCACCATGCAGGTATTGTTAACAAAGGTACTTTCATTTGTAATCCGAGGCTGCTTTTTCCTCTTCGGTGGGTCAGCAAATCATCCCTGCTTTGTGCTCACCACACCCTGCTGCTTCTTAGCACAACCATCTTTATTCCAGTTCAAGTCACTGCCACCACACTAAGTTGGTCTCCTTCTCTTCAGTCCTTGCCTATTAGGGTTTATTTCTCTTGTTAGCCCAGAACGATCCTCCTAAATTCTAAGTCAGATAATCCACTCTACTTAAATCATCTTTCCTCTCACTCAGAACAGATTGCAATGCATTCTCTGGCACAGAACCTAACAAGGCCTACTCTTGACGCTGTTCTTCATTGCCTTTGTCATTTTCTCTTGTCCCATTGGCTCCAGACTTTTCCTCACTCTCTCAAAGAGTCCTTCTCTTGACTCAGATACTCCACGTTTGAATGAACACATATGAAAAGGTCTTCCCATGTGTACTAACATGGTGTAGCCTACCTAGCCTGTGTTTTGGATTTGATGGCACCTCCAGGCTGAGGGGTGTCCCTGAACACTCTATTATCTTTATCATCTGCATCATGCTGTTACACACTTCATGTTTTTTCTTGACACTTACTAACCTCTTTCATGATGGATTCCTGACTGATGGATGGGTAGATATGTCAGTTCCCCCATGTAGAATGTCAGCTTTCTAGGGATAAGAACTGGTTGTTCAGTAGATGAGTAGATTCCTCACACACAGGCTGTGCTGGTTCAGTTTTTCAAAAGTATGAATTACCAGGGTCCAATGGGTAAAGGATGGGAGCAAATACCCTATGAATATTTTTTTTTTTACTTTTATAGATAGGGTTTCTCTGTGTAGCTTTGGTTGTCCTGGAACTCTCTCTGTAGACCAAGCTGGCCTTGAACTCAGAGATCTGCCTGCTTCTGCCTCCCCAGTGCTGGGATTAAAGGCATGTGCCACCATCACCTGGCCCCTATGAAGATCTTTAACTAATGTGCCTTCTCTGGGGAATAAACATGGTTCTCACCAAAATTCAAGCATCTTCTTAGCAACTGTGGTCCATATCCAATAATCTCTTCCTTGTTTGTTTCCCTCCTAAAAGAGACAATTGAGTTACCTGCTTTCAGTAGGATGGGATGCGGTTATTAAAAATGTACACAAAATACACAACCCATAGAAATACTTATTAAAGTGGTTTTGAAGTTCAATTCTTCTTGATCAAAATGTAGTAAGGTTTCTGTCCTTTTTAGCTGTTTGAACTTAAGTATGTTTACTCACTGTTCCAGGCTTATTAATGTTGATTATAATAGCCTTTACATAAGAAAGGGATGGGGTGTACAATTAATAAAATTCATGAATAACGACATTCACAGCTCAAACTTGAACTAGTGCAACGTGTCTTCACTATCACTATAGCTGGGCCAAGTGGGAAACTGTGAGCACTTCATCATATGTCTAACATGCAGTGATGGAGTGAGACAGAATTCACATCAGCACAAGGATTTCCAAAGTCTTCACTGGGGCTAGGCTGTGCTCACCACCTCACCGCTTCATACCTCAGGACAGCAAAGGTTCTTGATTCAGCAGCTGCCACATGCAGCTCACCAGATGGATACCAATTCTGTTACAGTTGGAGCTGCTCAGAGACGAGAGTCAGGGCATAGTTCTGGCTATCATTGGCCCTTCTTCTCTGGCTCTTGAATGAAGA